ATTCTTTACTTTATACAGTTCCCTGTTTTCTTAGTAATTCAGATGAGTTTAGACAATATCAATCTCCATTCTCAACATCTCTCTAAGAGTCTTTAAAATGACACCCATTTCCGACATTAAAAAATAGAACAGAGTATCTACTGCTCAGTGGTGTGGACTTGAGAGATGGAGTAGTCCCTGTGACACACAGCACCTCATGAAGTGTAGTAAAGAACTGAGAGCTTATAATGCATGAAGTAGAAAGTCCAGGTGTTTCTTCATTTATTTAAGATTTGCCTATATATCTTTTTCTGATTCCTGAAAGGAGAAATGACAAGACTCACTGTGTAGCAGGACACCTTGAAGGTATTCTCTCTGTTCCAGAGGAGCCCTAAGATTTCCATGTGGCGTTTGGAACATGAGGTGATCAGAATGGGAAAGGCTGTATAATACAGGGCAAAGTCTTTGGAAGCAGATAGACTCTTAGTAGTACTTTATGCTGCTTACTATCCTTAGTTCTTGGATGATAATCTTACTAAGGAATTGGCACTAAACATTTACGTCTTGTATACTTAATGAATACTCAGGTGTGTGTGTGTGTTTATTGATATATAGATATGGATTATTTATTTTATAATATTATATAAGCAAACTTAGCTAAAATATATAAGAAGTCTTAAAGACAATAGACTCGCCATCTTGTGTAAATCCCACCTAACCCAAGAATCTGTCAATGGAGCCACCAAATAAAATGTTCTGGGAAGAACTAAATTTAGACAATAGATAGCTATTTACCTTAACAGCCTTTTGAACATAGTTGTAAATCTTTTTTCTAAAGTTTCCTCACATTTGAACTACAATATAAAATATGAATATGGGTGGCAGCAAGTTCCAGTATAAAGGCCATGAACTTGGGAATCCAAAAGAAAGACCTGAGATTGAACACCGCCTTGGTCACTTTAACTTAATTTTTTGGTTACCAGTTTTATCCTATGTGTGTTGGTAAAATTATGACCACTTCATAAGTTTCATGTATTATTTTTTTCCCTGCAGTATTGTATGAGGAATGTCTGACCTGCAAGAGAACTCCAATGACTGGTGATTCTACTCTCACATCACTTACAGTGAAAGGATGTCCTCAACTTTTCCTCATCTCCACAAGTATAAGGCTTTCAGGAAAGGACATCTCCTTTCTTGAACAAAAAGTAAAGAAAACAACAAATAAAGAAAAATATAAGGGAAGGGTTACACTGGTGTCTTTCATCTTCTGGAAACTTCATCTCCTAGAAGAACTGAATTCAGGTGCTTTCTACTTTGAGGATGCATTTAGTTTGCACTTCTGTCCCTGACCTCTAGAGCAAAAAGCTATGCACACTGTACAAAATTCTGGAAATACACGTGAATGTGCCAGGCATCTCTGCACTTCCATTTCCATGGGGGTTACTTTTTCTTTTAGACCCAAGATGTTAGAAACACCTGAACTGGTCTTCAATTAATCTTTAAATATCTGGATTCTCTGTCCCACTAACAAAATGCGGTGTGTTACTCTCTGTTTTCCATGATGTACTGTGTGTCAAGGGTAGCCCCACTGAGCCTCAAACATCATCAGGACAATGGCCATTACCTCCTACTTTTTCGTATGGGGCTGTCATCCCTTACAAAGCCACTAAGATCTCAAGTGCTTTGAAAATAAGTTTCCTTGGGCGCCTGGGTGGCTCAGTTGGTTGAGCGACTGCCTTCGGCTCAGGTCATGATCCTGGAGCCCCTGGATCGAGTTCCGCATCAGGCTCCCTGCTCGGCGAGGAGCCTGCTTCTCCCTCTAACCCTCCCCCCTCTCATGTACTTTCTCGCTCTCTCAAATAAATAAATAAATCTTTAAAAAAAAAAAAAAGAAGTTTCCTCAGAAATGTAAGGAACAAGAAAACTCTTTGTGTTTGACTTTTTGTTTGTTTGTTGTTTGTTTTGCTTGTCTCCCCCACCCTCCGCAGGTAGAAAAATTCCAACAGACACAAAGCATCGTTCCATTTCAAAGAAAAAATGAGAGAAGTTCAAATTTTCCAAAATTCAAAAATTCTTCTTGGGGAAAGAATAAAGCAAGAGTTTTGTGAGACCTACTTCAGGAACTCAGTCAGCATATTTTTAAAACTTCCTTTTACTTGTTTCATTTTTTGAGAGACAGGTCTGAAATAACAGATGATTTTTTCCCCTTCTGCAGCTGGGCAACGTGGTAGCTTGTACCAGCTCCTCTCAGTCATAAACGTGTGTTAATGGACTGACATGTGCTTAATAATACAGGCAGCACCTGGATGCTTTAGAGCAAAGTGCCGCCAGGGCCTATCCTATATTAAAGCTGCATTATTGACCTGAGGCCTACAAGTCTCTGTACTCAAACATCTCGCAGATCAGAGAGAGAAACAGCCTAGTGCCAGCTCACATTTTTCTTCTTCAAATAGGGACGACTGAAGTCTAACTTTATAACTCTGAACATGAAAAATATTGTGTTTCTAAGTGATTAACTCACCTCCATTACTGGAAATTTTATAAATTTTATAAAAGTCCTGTGATACACAAATTGACCCAGCTTTTATGACTTTGTGGAGTGAGGTGCCTTCTAGCTATAGGTCTTGAGTCGGTATGGAAGGGAACGGAATTTGCTGAATAGTTTCTCAACACTGTGCTTAGGATTTTAGATACATTATCTCATTTAATCACCATCATGGCAGTCTCCTGATGTAAGAACTTTTTTTTTTTTATCTTTTCCATCTCATGTTTTAGGCAAACTCTGAGATCGTCCCTTATGATCCATGACTCCTAATATACACAGCTTTGTATAATGCCCTTGGTTTGAGCAGGGCCTAGACTTATTTACTTGTTTCTACTACTGAACAGAGCATGGTAAAGGGATGGAATGCCACACCTGGTGTTAGGTTACAAAAAGACTATGGCTTTTGTCTTGAGTGTTCTTTTTCTTTCTTGAATCACTCATTTTGGGATAAAAGCACTATCATTTCATGAGGCAGCCTTCTGGATAGGCCATGGGATAAGCTTGGAAGTGGATCTTCTGAGGCCTGCCAACAGCCATATGGGTTAGCTTGGAAGTAGATTTGCCCAGAGTTGAACTTTGAGATGATAGTATCCCCCACCAACAACCTAATTGAAGCCAGAAGTACCCAGTTAAGGTGCCCCTGGATTCCTGACTCTTATAAACTAGGACACGATAAACATTTTCAACCACTCTATTTTGCTATAGTTTGTTACACGACCATCAATAACTAATACACTCTCACTTACATATGAGAAAAAGTTAAGAAGTTTATTCAGGGTCATAGAACAGTAAGGAGAAGAGGTACCTTTTTAACTTAAGTTCCAGACCCAGGCTCTCCTACTATTCCAGGGATTCAATGGACTTTTTGTTCACTAAGTGGCATATGAGGCTCTCCCAGAGTCTGACCTGATCTTGGGTATTAAGTCATGCCCTTTACTATTTAAATCAATTTTCTCTAATTTGTTTGGATAACAAAACTCACAGTCCAGTGGGAGAAGGAAGACATTTAAGAAAAACTGATGTGGTGTTATGCAGGATGGATATTGGCCCAGGATGTCCAGAGGAGGGGTATTTGATTCACACTGTAGAACCAGGGAGGCTTTTCAAATGATTTGTTGACTTAGCGACATGCCTCAGCCCCTAATATGATGCCTGGCACATGGTCTAACCTCAGTAAGTACTTGTTGACTAAGTACTACTTCTGGAAGGACAGGATGCATTAGTCAGATAACAGAAAAGGAGGGAGAAAGTTCTACTGTCTCATGTTACAAAAATATCACATGGAAGAGTCAGAGTTTTGAAAAACATGACTTCTTCATAAATCTGTTCCGTAGTATTGTTACATATTAGAATCTGTATATTGTCATAAAAGTCTTTCCAAAATTAGCTATTCGAGGACCAGTTTAAAAAGTTTTGCCATACCTAGAGGCCATATGCATCAGTATTTAATTAATATCTTAAAAATATACTTTAAATATTTTTTAATTTAAATATTTTTGTTTATTTACTTGAGACAGAGAGGAAACAAGAGAGCACAAGGTGGAGGAGGGTCAGAGGGAGAAGGAGAAGCGGACTCCTTGCTGAGCAGGGAGGGGGCTGGATCCCAGGACCCTGAGATCATGACCAGAGCCAAAGGCAGACACTTAACCAACTGAGCCACCCAGGTGCCCCTAAAAAGTATTTCTTTAAACTCACTAATTTTCACTTGAAATAAAATTTGGTGGTTGTAAAATGTCCACAGAAGTGTGTATGATATACAGGGAAACTATAGGCTTTGAAGCCAGACAAATTCAGTATGAAATTGTTGTTCATCACTTATTAACATGTGCTCTTGGAAGTTACTTAGCTTCCATGACTCTTCACTTCCTCATCTATAAAGTACCTATAAAATACCTTCCTTGAACGAGCATGATGAAGATTCCATATAATACACGCCATGTCTGTCGAGACGCAGCAACATGTTCAGAAAGTGGTCTATATTATGTTATATTTAGGTAGGAATTCTTATTGCCACTTCTCAAACAAGTCTGCTGAGGAATAAGGAAATTAAGAGACTTGTCAAAGTTTCATAGATATGTCTGAATTCAATGGTTTTTGTTTGTTTGTTTGTTTGTTTGTTTTAAGTCATCTCAGGGCACCTGGGTTGTCAGTTAGTTAAGTGTCTTCCTTCTGCTCAGGTCATGATCTCAGGGTCCTGGGATCGAGCCCACGCATTGAGTCAGGCTCCCTACCTGGCGGTGAGCCTGCTTCTCCCTCTGCCCCTCCCCTCTACTCCACCCCCACTCTCAAATAAATAATATATATATTAAAATTATATATTTATGAAAGTGGCCTCTTCAGACTTAGAGTAAATTAGTGAATACTGGGTCATCCCACAACCCTGAGAGCTGGATTCTGCACGTTTTAGTTGGAATCTCAAACGTGGGTTGACTTGGCTGAACAAGAAACCGACCTAACAGTTGTCAGAAGATGGTACCTGTGAGGATTTCAGCTGTGCGTTCGGTCATTTTCTGAATCACGAGTCTCACGGTTCCACCCTCCAGGCTCAGCAGCAGGGTCCCCGAGCCCTCAGACAGCTCTGTGGACAGAAGCAGACCATCCTTGTTCCATGTTCGAAACTGGAAACTCACTGAGAGCCCATCAATTTGGGGGGTGCCGGGCAGCAGCAAATAACTGCTGCTGGAGTTGACAAATGTGATGGGAACAATTTGTGGTTCGGAGCAGGAAAAAGTGACATTGCCCTGGAAAACAATAAAAATCAAACATATAAAAGCCATTTTTTATTCTGCAATCTGACAGCTGATATAAACAACCACCTGGAGCTGACCTTAATTTCAGGATCATTCTACATCTACATGCAGCTACAAGAGCTTAAAGGAAAAAAAAAAATGTCAGCTTTGTTCAGATATGCCTGTGAAACTGTTTCTATTCCTGTTTTATGGATCACACTCTTATCCACGAGAAGGCCATCGGAGACCCCAGTTGGGGTAGGGGGGTGGGATGGGAAGCATCAACATTTTCTAAGGAATGGGTATGAAAATAAGTGCATTCATGCATTTAATAAATATGTACTGCAAATCACTATGGGCCAAGCATGGGATAAAGTTTAAAGGGATCCACATGAAAAAACTTTGTTATGGCTTGGAAGGTGTTACAAGAGAGATAGACACAAGCTCCCAGGGGAGCCTGGTAGAAGAAAGAACTAAACAAGTAAAGGTTTCACAAGGGAGATGATGCTTTCCTGGAAGGAAGCGGTGAAAGAGAGTTGTGAGTGTGCCTGGCTAGACTTTTCAGCAAGTGGCATGTTGTATGCAAAGATTTAGAGAAATTAGCAAAACTGGATTCCTGGGAATTATGGGGAACTTGTCATTTCTGAACATTAAGTGATGCAGGGAGGGCTAGGGGCCATGATAGAGGTGAGACCAGAAAGATGAGTAGAGGTAGAGTTTAAAAGCCCCTTTATGTTTGCTGAAGTTATCATCCAAATTTAGAAACAATAAGGTGACACAGTCAGGTTTTAAGCTACTGAAGACGATTTTCAGTAGCATAAAGAGTGGAGGGAGGGGCAGATGGGAAGACTAGAGGTGGGGAATATTAAATGTGCATCAACTAGAATCAGTAGATAAGGAAGAATAGTATTCTTTGCATAAGTGAGGGGAAACTGGTCCAAGTTTTCCAGGGGGGAACGCCCTGGCTTGACTGGCTGCCTGAATTCAAATTTTCTACTCATGTGTCCAGATAGGGAGGTCATATACCTAGTACAGCTCCCAGTACTGGAGCAGGTTGATTGTTCAACTACAAAATCCTCATAGTTTGGAAAAACATCCCTAGGTCCCAACCATGTCTGTTAATGATAGTCCTGCATTTCTGAAAACAAATAGCAATCTCCAAACAAACTTAAACCAATAGCACATTTTTGATGGTTCACTCATCAACCATGCTGCTAGGAGTGTATGCTTGCATTAATCATGTTGTAATTGTTTAGATGTTTCCTCTTCTTTGGGTTAGATCCCCAGAAGTTAATTAATGTGTCAAAGGGCAAGGCTCTCAATATCCATTAAGAAATTGTCTACGGTTCATACTGCCCCACCGCGCCTGGCAGTAGGCTAAGCACTCACAAACATACCTCATGTATTCTGCATAGTAACACTGCATCCATTTAAATAGTTCACAGACTAGGCTTACAGAAGGTAAGTAGCTTAACAAAAGTCATGTGCCTCGTTAGCAGTGCCAATGCGATACAAACTTCTGTTTGTCAGACATGGAAGACTTTCCTTTTAGTCACCATCTCTGACACATCCCTCCTCTGCACCAGGTAACACCATTCTAAAAATTCTGTCCATTTGTTCATGATATCCATTGTTGTTCTAATTTGCATTTAAAAAATTTCTAGGGTACATGGGGGGCTCAGTTGGCTAAGTGTCTGACTTCTGCTTGAGTCCTGATCTTCCCTTTCCCTCTGCCCCTCACCCAACTCGTGCTAGCTCTCTCTCTCTCTCTCTCTCTCTGACTCTCAAATAAATAAATAAAATCTTAAAAAGATTCTGGTGGGCTTCTTTTCAAGAATGAAAATATCCTCACTAATGGCAGATTAATTGAGGCAGAGCTGTCTTTTGGAAGAAGTAAAATCACAAATGTTCTTACAGCAAAGTCCAGAGATAGTAACTATTCTTCGACTTTGTTTTTTTTTTTTTTTCTTTTTCTCAGGTCAGTATCACCTCCTAACAAATTTGCCAGAGCAAAGCTGTACCCCAAGTTTGAGGCTGTGCAGAAGGTGGAATGGTTGGGAGGTAGTGATGAGGCTGTACGCAGAAGAGTAGGAGGTCATAAAAATGCCTCATTTCCCCACTGATTTAAAATCCAATGATTAGCTCAACCCAGTGTTTGGGTGTTCTCTGGATCGGTAGCCATGGGAGGTGGGGGTCTACAGAAACTGAGATTCTCCCCTTATATGAGTAATTCACTCATATCTGAGAGGTCTGGGAGACCCCTTCCTCAGACTTGCACCATCCACTGAATGTCTAATGGACCTCAGGTATTTAGGAAATAGGCAAGGGGAATCAGCATCCCTTGAAGGTCATTCAAGTGTCCTGGCTAGATTCTGGTAGCAAGAAATTCAGATCAATGCCTCAGGGATTCTCCCTGGTTAAGGTAAAGCCATGTGTGGTAATCAACACTTTTCCTCATTGGGGAGAAGGACACCACTGAAATCATTGGGGTGCCTCTGGTTCACTGCAGGTCATGCTCCTCCAGTCCATTCTCCACCTCCATTCACACTGTCCTCTGCTATCCTTCCCTGGAGCAGCTGCCTGAGCCATCGAAACTTCCCTGTTGTTCAAACATACCCCTGCTATGTTCTCTGATGGCAAGTCCAAGGACAAATGAGTAGGAGAGAAGAGAAAGGAGTAGATGGGAAATGCTTTCCACAACAAATCTGACCCAGCTCTCCTGGCAAGTGAATGTCTCCAGCTCAGCTCCCCATCACACAGCTGCTGTGCTGCCATTTCTGCTTCTAATCCTATCTCAGCTACACTTGCTGTTTGCAGAAATGTCACAGTGTTGAGAAACATCGATATCCACCCCCACCCCCATCTCCCCAGTAGACAGAAAAAAAAAATGGCTAAATGCAAAAGTGCTACTTTTGAAATCAGCAGAAGATTATTTAATCTTTCTTAATAATATCATTTGTGACTTCAGAATCCTTCTCAAGGCAGCATTTGAGGGAGTCCCCACCATGATTTAGAAACAGCATGCAAGAAGACAATTTACTTTAGGATGCTGTCAAAACAGAAAGTGGCAAAAAGTCTACAGACTATGTTCTACCCTAAATACCCCTTCAATCTATTAATTCAACTTTCATTCCATCTCCCCCACCGCCACCGCACTGCCGGCCAAGAAGGAAGCTCCATTTCTCAGACCCCTATTCCACTGCACGTTTTCTTCATTAAAGTCAACACTTATTCAAGATTCCTCAAGCATTGTAAAACAATGTATTAAGCATGGGAGTTATCCATAAATTATAAACATGGTGGAAATCCTTTGCATTAGTCCTTAAATGTACATTTTGACTGTAATAGGTACAAAGTGTGCCCTGACACAGGAGCGCACTGTGGCCAAATCTTCAACATAAACCAACCAACTCTGGACCTATAGAAGAGGTAAAGAAGTCAGTATCACTGTCACAGGTCCCTTTCTCCCCTCCATAAACTACAAGACCTACAGGGTCTTTCACTGTCCAAAAAGGAGGTCATTCTACATTGAAGAAGCCGAATCCTTGATACCTGATGTGTTTCTCCTGATGACTCCACCATGTCCTGGTTGGATGGTGACCTTCTGCTACGTGACTGACTGCCAGTCAAGACTGGGAATAAGGCAACAGCTGGCATGGGTACCTGGAACACATGAGTGGGGAAGCTCCCTTTGTCCCCAGGGTGGCAGTTCTTAGTGCCCTGTACTTTCACGTATGCTTTTCATGTGCATACATGCCTATCCTCCAAAAGGTGAGGTACCCAAGAGTGCTGGCCCCAAGATAGAGCAGCCATTTGTCCTTTAGAGACCCCCAGACAATATCCATATTCCTTGTCAAGGATCCACCATGGCCTTTTCTTCACCAGCCTTAAGACACAGAACTTCCCATCCCTCCTTTCTCAGACAAAAGTGATCACTCCAGATGGAGCACAGAACTTTGAAACCCTAACAATCAATGTTCACAGACCATCTTAGAGAGATTGCCCATATCTGTGTAAAAATGCTGTTCTACAACAGCAAACCGATACTGTCCCCTGTCATGAGAAGGTTGATGGCCTCCTGTAGGTGGTCAGAACTTGAAACCCAAGAACCAAGTTCGTGTCAGAAGAGGAAGCAAACCTTTTTCTTTGATTCATCCTCCCCAAGGAGGCCCTTCCACCAGAGCGCAGAGAAAAACACTTACCTCACTAATATCTATGAAGGAGCAGTACACGGTTTTAGACAAAGGAAGCCTATCCTAATCTGGACAGTTACAAAAGGCCTCCTTAGGGAGGTGACACTAGCATTGAGATTTTACAGAGGCACAGGAGTGGCTATGTGGAGAGTTGGAAAGTGTGTTATCTGATCATAGAGGGAAAGCATTTGCTAGGGTCAGAGGCAGGAAGGTGTGTGGCGGGCATAGTCAGAGACTCAACAGAAGGTCAGCTGACTACAGTTCAAAAGCCAGCATGTCAGCAGTCTAGATGAAGTTGAAAGGACAGAAAGAAGGACAATCATGTCACTCTTTAGACCATGTTGAGGCACTAGAACTTGATGCTATGGAAAAAAAAAATGGGAATGGGGGAAGGGGGATTTATGTAGAGCTTAGGATACACAGTCGTGTGGTGCTTCATATGCATCCCTCACGGGGCTATTGTTAGGAGTGAAGTGTATTGTGTGTGGAGGAGATGAGTGGCCAAGGGCCACACCTCAGGCAGCTGTTGCAGTTAGTAGACCAGAGAAGTTGAGGGTTTACGGAAAGCTCTATCTAGAATGGCAAAGGGGGGGAGAGAGAAAAGCAGATATTTTGCAGGTAAAATTGATAGGAGGTGCTATGCTGGGTGAAGGGACAGGAAGATCAAGCATATTTCCCACTCTCCTCTGCTTGAACAAAGGACTTCAGGTAAGAAAGAGCAGACAGGGAAGGAAAAGATTTATTTTTTGTTAGATTTCTTTACAGTGCCCTGCCTATTTTTCTTCATGTTAGTGTGCACTCAGAGGCAGCAGGCTTTTC